CAGCCTGGCTGCACCAGGCAGCTCATGGAAAGGCTTTTCCGCTTTCTACCCGCTCCTGCCCCTCCCCCAGCCCAGCCTCCCCTGGAGAATGAGAGAGACACACAGAGCGAGCGGGGAGAGAGAGAGAGCTCTCGGCGCGCGCTGCTTTTTGCCTCGCAGGCTCCCCTGGAGAGCTTTCCCGCGCGCGCCGGCTTCCCTTCGCCCAAACAAGCGCCGCGTTCAAGGCTCCTTCCTCAAGAAGGCCGCAGCCGAGCTGTGCGTTTCCACAAGCCCCTAACCACCTCACACAGAAATCGGTGCTTTCCTCTCTCTCTCTCTCTCTCTCTCTCTCTCTCCTTCCCTGCCTCGCCTGCTTTGCCTCAACGCCCCCCCCCCCGCTTTTTCCCCTTCACACAGCCTGGGCCTCAGCCGTCTGTGCTCCATGAGGTCACTTGCTTCCATTCCCATTACTGCGGGCTTTTTTTTTTTTCTTTTTGCCTCCTTTTGCAAAGGGGGCTGTGTGAGGTGGGAGAAAAAAAGGGGGGGAGGAGGTTGGAAGAAGAACCGCTCGAGGCACACGAATACATGTAATTTCCAGGCCCCGCCATTCACCTCCTCGGCCACCCCTCCTTCCCCAACACCAAGTGTGGGGAAGACAAGCTTCTCTTCTTCCTTTCCCCCCACCTACCTACTGCGTTTGCTACCCACTCTGAACCACTTTTTTGCTTGTTGACAAGGCCACGGTGGGTAGCTTGCGCGTGTCCTTTTTCCCAAGGAAGGCCTGCAAAAGTCCTCGTCACTGAAGCGGGGACATGGCCTAGTTTCCCCCAAGTTTTCTAAATAAGGTACCAGTGTGGAGAAGCCTGAAGAAATATATGACACCGCAGACATAACAAGCAGTCAGTGGCTGCGAATGTTTGTTGTTGCAGCACGCCATATAACTTCTGGTGATTGTTACTTCGCCTCTGATGAATCCGCGTATTTAGATGTGATTTATTTTTTATTTTGTAGCACCAACAGAAATCCATAAACTGTCGGTTCAGCGCCATTGACTCTTTGATCAGTTACTGGGCTATCTCTCCCCCTCCCCCTCTTTCCTCCCCGTCAGCGAAGAGAGATTAAAAGCCTGTATTTTCAGCACTGGTGCTACTGCAAAGATCCGTAGCTTCAATTACCAATAAAAGTGTGCTTGAAAATGTTAGCCTCTTTCCTTTCTCTCTCCCTCCCTCTCCCTCTATTCAAGAGCATCAAAACTTGCAGAGCTGCCTATAGTACCCTCTTAATTAGCCTACAGCGATTTCCGAAAACATTTAGCTGCTATGTACAAAGGAAATAAAAAGTCATTGTCAACTCGAGAGCGCTCCAGAGTTTAAAAGGGTGCCTCTCTGTAACCTATTGAAATAATTATTGGAGGGCACAACGCCTCCGTCTTTGTCAGAGGACTGGGGTTTGCCTGTCAGGTTGGGTTTTCTCCAAAAGAGCACCATTCATTTAACTGCGGAGGGCATTTAAATCTAACCCTATTTTTGTCAAGATCGCTATAAACTTTCTGGTGAGGAGAGGAGAGACTGCTTGGAAGCTTAACGGAGCTGGAATTGTGTCCCAGGCCACATATTCCCAAAGCCCTGCCCTTTGTTTTTGATACCTTACATTATATTTTTTAATTATTTTTCAAATGATGCCAGAGAAAGCAAGTTTCTCTTCGTGCACCATTGCAATGAGAGACAAAAAATGCACTAGGCATTTATATACAGTTCTAAACACCCCCGGAATTCTCTATTTTCTGATGGGCACAAGTTCCCCTCGTTTACATGTGTGGAAACATTATCTTTTTTTCTCAAAAAACCGGGAAAGCAGCAAATGACTCTCTCGGGAAAATAAAAGAAGATTTAAAAGTTGAGCCATCCAGTAGCTAAGAGGCAGCTTTTGGGATGGGGGGGGGACAGTTCCTTGCCTTTAATTGCCTTGGAGGACTCCTGATAACACTGTAGTTATCCTCGAGAAAGTTGGCCAAGACAGGTTAAATAATTTAATAAGGACCTGCTTGTAATTATGTTATTTACAAGGGATGACAGAGGTTTGAGAAAGAAACAGGAGCTGATCTCAGGGAAAATGGACGGGTTTGGGTGACCCCTGGAGCATAGAGCTTGAATTATGGAGATGGGGGACTGCGAGGTGAATCCGGACTAGTGGAGAACAAGATGACTTTTCACCTCAACACATTTAACTTTTACATCCCAAATAAACGTCTCGCGAGACTAAATCATCCCATTTGAAAAAGAAAAAGAGAGGGCAGAGAGAGGAGGAGGGAAGGAAAGCAGCTTCCTTCGATTCCAGCGCGTCCGGATTAAGAGACAATTTCCCTTTTTGTCATCGGTCTTAACAAAATTAATCCCCCAGGTTGTTTTAAAATAAAATTGGGGGAAACACTGGAGCAGTTGCCCTCCCCGGTCACCACTTCTTTCCCTGATATCAAGCAGATGGAAATCTGGCATTAAAGGGCAGCGCATTAATAACAGCT